TACATAAACAAGGAATGTGCTACTGAGGGGAAAAAAATCCTACTAAAAGCATGATAAATTTTAAAGTAATTCTTTTTAAATTTTAAATAAAGCAAAAGGCCTAGGTTCAAAAAGCAAACTTTATATTGGGTTTGGGAAATTTGATTCTCTCTATGGTCTTCCGTTTTTGATACTATTAAAATAATTGTTGGAAACCACTCTGCTGTGCCTCTGTCCCCTCACCTGGCAAGTAGGGATAGTGCTACCTGCCTAGATTTTCTTCTTAGGGAGATTTAAGAGGGAAAAAAAGTTGAAGTTTTTAAGAAAAATAATGGCTATGTGGTTTTAGTGCTTTTGCTATTTTCATTTTAGCAATTATTGCTACTGAATGAGCATAGAAATGAACTAGTAATGACAAAAGGACTGAGGATAATTTTGAATATATGGAATTTGCATGAAAAATAGGAATCTTTGTCCTAAATGCTTTGTGGAAGCAAAACACACCAATAGGAAGAACTAACTATTCAACCACAGTGTTCTCATTAAAATAATGCGCTTGTGTGCTGTGCACATATAAAGCATGCATATTTGAAGTTTTCTTCAATTCATCTGATATTTTTATATAAAAATAAGCTTGAATTTTTGAAAGACTACCAATGATTTATATTTGATTTTTCTGAACCTGATTAGGTAGTTTTAATCATTCCTTCATAAATATTGGCAAAGAGGTCATCAATATATTTGTAAATGGCTGTAAGAATCATGGCTGAAAAGGACAGCGAAGCTCCCAAGGTGACACAGCAGATGAGAGACCAGCTTGTCAGATCCCTTTTTCCAGTCTGGGTACAGGTTATGGGACAGAATGGAGAGTCTCTTTCTGAGTGGCTTTGCTTTATACCCTTTCCCATTAAAACTTGGCAGAGAACACTAGAATCTGTGATCATTACAGATTATGAAATAAAAAATAATGCTCCGTTTCAAAAACTCAAGTTCATAGTCCCCAGGCCCTTTCACTGAAAAACAGTTGTTTCATCACTTTGGCTTCTGGGACAAATGCTTGGCACATTGTAACAGGGATGATGAAAACATGAGACAGCAGAAAGTCTCAGCACAGTGCAGTCTAAAAGGTTCGTCAGCACCCTTTATGTAATAAATAATGGAGTAGCTGGAAAACTGCCTTTAAAAGGAGAAGTTTTTCTGGTCAAAGTTAAAGGCTAGCCAAATGCATTTGAGAAATAAACTAGCATGAAGCAGAACCAAGAGATGCTCAGGCAAATTTCTTGTGTAAAGCTCCACCAGAAAGTACATAGGTAATGAGGTCTCATTTAAACAAATGACACTAAATAAAAATTTGCATCGCATTTCTTAGTCAACCTGGAGGTGGGGGGGCGAGCAGGAGGAAACGGAGTCACCACTTGGCGAACGGCGGCTCTAAAACTGCATTGCTGACCTGGGTGACCCAGCAAGCAGTGCCGAGAACAAACGCACCGAACCCTCTTTCATGTCTGGCTGAGGTTTTCTGCCCACCTAGTTTTTAGACTCCCCCTCTTGGGTATCGCCAACAAAATTTTCACATCACCAGATGTGAAATTTAAAATTATTACCCTATCAAGGTCAGAACGAGGTCATTTCTAATCATGTAAAAAAACGGAGAAGAGATTTTGAATTGAAACCCTTGGATTCTCTGCAGCATAGAAATGAAGCCATTCTTAAAGGACACTGCACAAAAGTTTTTATTCACACAAATGTGTGATTAAGAGGGGTTAGAAAAAAGGCACAGAGAACTCACAACCAACAAAGCTAAGGTCAGGGGGCTCCTGTGTGGTGAAGAGATAGGGCCAGAGACCCCTGAGGAAGCCCTTTTCATTTTACATCAGGACCTAGCAGACGGAGTTGGTAGACTTTGCATCAGCCAAGGAGAATTAGGCCATCTCTAGGAGGACAAAGATTAGCAAATCAGACACTGTTTTTTGCTCAGGAAAAAAAGGGTATCACACAAAGAGAATGCCAGCTAAAATATTTTACCCAGCAAATTCTGCAGCCTCTGGAAAGGGGAGAATTTAAAATCATGAAGAAACCCCAAATTAATTAATAGCTGCCTATCTAGAGCCCCCAAATTGTGTTTGCATTAGAATTATAATGCTAAAACTATTTTTTTTTCATTTCAGCAAGTCTTTCAAATTTTTTCCAGCTGGGTCTTGATATGTTCTATGAACATATTTCTAAGGAAATATCTTATGAAAAGTGATTGTATCTTAATTCTTATAATGAGCATCAGGGATAAAATTCTTCAAGCAGATTAATGCAAAGATCAGGAGCAAAATATGTATTTTTTAACTAAGTAGCTATGAAAATACTGTCTCTTCTTCCCCGACTCCTGTTGAAAAGCAGTAATCTTTGTTAACGTAGGGATATAATGTTAGGGAATAATGTTAAAATACTGGCATATTATACCATTGCATTCACAATTTTAAAAGGGCAAAATCATCAAGGATCTTTAAGTGAGAAAATGTGTTTATGTCAGCCTCCTAAACTGAATGATTGAAGCCTAAAGATTTAACGATTGAAACCTGTGCTACCGGCCTGCACAGCGACCCCAATAGTCCCCGCCTCCTGGTGGTCACATCCTTGTTTAGTCTCCTCCCATACTGACTTGGGTTTACCTGTAATTTAGAGGATATTTGGGGAATGATATTGTATGATTTTCAAGGCTACTTCATAAAAGATGTGGTTTTGACCTTGTTCTTTCTTGGAGGCTTGCTCTGAAGAACGTCAGCTGACGTGTGACAACACTCAAGCGATTCCACAGAGAGGCCCCGTGGCAGGGAATTTAGGCCTCCTCCTACCTGCGTGGGTGTGAGCGAGCCCTCCGGGCAGTGGGTGGAGCTTATAGCACCACTCCTTCTTACTGCAGTCTCAGGAGACCTCGAGGAAAGCTGTTCCTGTATCCCCAACCCTCCGACACTGCTGAGATAATACAGGTTTATTGTGGTAAATCACTAAGTTTGGACTCATTTGTTACCTCAGCAATAGATTACAAAGTCTTTCCCCCCCACAAAGACATAATAGCAAAACAAATGAATACACCCATCTTAAGGCATTTACAAAGTCCAATCATTTGTGCAGTTACTAGTACTTAATGGGGCCTTATCTCAAGGAATTTACCAGTTAGTCCTTGTGTTTCTAAATGTTGTACCAAGACCAGCAGCATTGGCATTATCTGGGAGCTTGTTAGAAATACAGAATTTCAAATTCTACCCCACACCTGCTGAGTCAGAGTCTGTAATTTATGAGATTCCCCCAATGTATTTATCAAAGTTTGAGAAGAAGCACTGATCTGTTTGACTTCTGATGGAAACCCTAGCTCTACATGATGAGCACTTTTTAAAATATACTGTTAGAGGAGCCCATCCCCCAAATTCTGATTTAATTGGTTTGGGACGAGGTCTATCCTAGCCGCGTATCTAATTATCCTTTAGAATATTTCCCCTCAAAAAGCGACATTGAAGTCTCATGTCAGCTCTGACTTCCCAGCAAGTTCCAGGCCTGCTTCTAGAAGTCAGGTATGCCCAGGTATGTCCCCCAAACCGCCCGGGAGGAACTACGGGTACATGCCAATTTGGACTTGCAGTCTAGGGCCATTCAGAACCAGGTGCTGAATAACCTAAGGTTTCAGGGTAGTTTACACACCTGTCAGATTAGGACCACACATTTTTTTAGTTTCATCGGTCCCGGATGGCAAAATGGAATTAAAATTCTTACAAGTCTTAGTGTTCACCAGACACTAGTAAGTTAAGCTTTCCAGTATGATGGATGCTTACAAATCTTCGACATATTATGCAGAAAGTAGCTCAAATTGGTAACATTAAGTACCACTTGAATGTAAAAGCTGGGGGAGGAGGGTACAGGGGTTGTCTGGGTGTTTTTCTTTTTTTTTTTTTTTTACTAATGCTTCCCCAGTAATGGGAAGAATGCCTGGGACATGGCATGCTCTTAACAAATATTTGTAGGTTGAATAAATCCCTCAAAAACCAGTAACTTCTGATGATTCATTCATTCAAAGTTACTGAACATGCCATGTTGGTGAATGTGCAGCGGAAATTGTAGAGGCTGTTTTACCAAAGGATTTCTAAATAAAACTCCAAATCTGCTTTTAAAAATTAAAATTTATGCCCAAACTCAGTGTTTGTTTCAAATTTCTTGCCTAGTTTGGCTTCGGTTCTTCATTCGGAGGCTGGCTAAAGGATGTGATCCCTGCCCTTGAATCTCCTTCCTTTGTGGCTTTTTTTTTTTTTTTTTTTTCCTGTGCGTCTACGTTTCCCAGGCGGAGGAGCGCGTGCCGCCGCTGCGCCCACGGGCGTGCGCGGCGCGGGTGTGTAGCTGTCAGGCGGCCGGGGCTGCCTAGGACCCAGGGGGAGCCGCTCCTCTTTAGTGCAGCTCCTCCGCGCGGACCGCTCCAGCCCCCGCCACCTCGCCCAGCTCCCTCTCCACGGGGTTTTCGCGTCCTTTGGGGGCGAAGAGCCCCGTCATCCCTGAACGTGGGCCGGGCCGGCGGCTCGGCGGGGCCCCGGCGCGGACGAGAGTGGGTGGGCCGGGCGGGCTGCATTATTTCCCGCTGGGGCTGTGCTCTGTGGGAGGACGGGGGATCGCACGGCCCTCCCAGCCCAGCTGGCACGCGCCGCCTCTCAGGCAGGGCCTGGGGACGAGCGCAGCCGCCGCTCCGCAGCCGGGCCCGGGGCCGGGCGTGCCGGGCCCGCGGCAGCGCTCCCACGCTCCCAGCCCCTCCCCCTTCCTTCCTTCCTTCCCCGCAGCGCTCCGGGGAGCAGCCAGCGGATGCGAACCGCGCCGGGCGCCCGAGCTTTGTGTGCGCCTGCGGAGCCGGGCCGAGCCTGGGGCGGCCCAACTTGGCGGCTCTCCGCCGGCTCCGGAGCGGGAGTTGTGGGGCGTGGCTGGGTGGAGGAGGCGCTTGGGGGCGGGGGGCTTGCGGCTCCCCGGAGGGCGGGACGGACCGAGCCGGCGGCGCTGGACAATGAGCCGGGCTGCTCAACGCTGCGGCCACTTATAGGGGAACGTGGGCGGGCCGGCGGCTCCGCGGCTCCACCTGCGAGCGGAGGGCGGGATGCCAGAGCCAGGTGTCCCGGCGCTCTAAGGCCCCGCACGGCCAGACGTCTCTGAGCTGGTTCTCGCCTTGACACTGGGCTACCTGCGGGTGTTGGCTGGGACGGCTTTCTGCGGGGAGCCCAAGGAGCAGCCTCGATGGCCAGCACCAGGAGCATTGAGCTGGAGCACTTTGAGGAACGGGACAAAAGGCCGCGGCCGGGGTCGCGGAGAGGGGCGCCCAGCTCTGGGGGCAGCAGCAGCTCGGGCCCCAAGGGGAACGGGCTCATCCCCAGCCCGGCACACAGTGCCCACTGCAGCTTCTATCGCACGCGGACCCTGCAGGCCCTGAGCTCGGAGAAGAAGGCCAAGAAGGCGCGCTTTTACCGGAATGGGGACCGCTACTTCAAGGGCCTGGTGTTTGCCATCTCCAGCGACCGCTTCCGGTCTTTCGATGCGCTGCTCATGGAGCTCACCCGCTCCCTGTCGGACAACGTGAACCTGCCCCAGGGTGTCCGCACCATCTACACCATCGACGGCAGCAAGAAGGTCACCAGCTTGGAGGAGCTGCTGGAAGGTAGGAGGGGAGGGCCCAGCGCGGCAGGTGCGGCCCAGCAGGTGCAGTGGCCGCGTCCCGCCCACCCCGCGCTGGGGGGAGCCTGCGGGGTGTCTTCTAGGCGGCTACGGGAATTGTATGGCTCTGCCTGCTTTTTTCCTAGGATCTATGTGTGAAGCGCGCTCCTACCAATACTCTGTCCTTCCCAAGAGATATGTCCTTAAAAAAAAAAAAAAATCTGACTGGACTTTGGTGACATCTCTTAAAATTGGCCAACTCGTTTTTGTTTTGTTTGTGTTTGAAGGGCAAACTATTTGAAGAAGTGGCTCTCCGTTGGGGGCCCGGGTAACCCTTTAGGTAGTAAGCCGTTTGTTCAGCCATCTGTGTGCGGACCTCGGGGTAGCCACCTGTGCCGGGCCAGCCTGTGCGCCCCGGTTGTGTCTGTTCTATCCAGAAACTGTGGCTGTGAAAGGCCTTGGGTTGGCCTTCCTGGCTTGGCTTGCCGCAGAAGTTGTATGAGGTCAGGAGGTGTGATCCTGGGCATTCCTTCTCAACCTTGGCTGCATCTTGGGTCACTGAGGACTTTAAAAAATGTAGAGGCCTGTCCCCCCACCCCCCACCACCAACCCCATATTAGGATGTAATTGGTTTGGGGTGTGATCTAGGTAGCTGGAGTTGTAAAAACTCCTCAGGTGATTTGAATGTGCAGTCGAGATTGAAAACCACTGTGCTAAAGGGTGTTTCACGTGTGTTTAGTAATGAGGTGAATCAAGGTCAATTTCTCTTGCCTTCTCTCCCAGTGAAATTAGCTAGTTAGGGTGATGGTTACTGGCCCCTGCAATCAGCAGTTGGTTGTCAGCTGCTTCGCTTAGAAGGACTGATTGGTTGTATGTTGTATCATCCTTGAATTCCTGCAGTACTTACTCTTGTTTCCTTTTAGAGGGGAAAAAAGCATTACTAAGTACAGGTGTACCTAGGAGACATTGCAGGTTCTGTTCCAGACCATCATAATAAACCCAGTATCACAAGAAAGCCAGTCATAATCTTTTTGCTGGTGGAGGGTCTTGCCTCTGTTTTGTAAGGAACAGAACACCTGTGAAGCACAGTAAAGTGAAAAGCCAATAAAACGAGGTGTGCCTGTATGAGGACCAATTTCCAGATCTAAACAACACCTGTGAAGATCAGACAGCGCTCCCCCCGCCCCCCGCCAAGTATTTGCTGACTGCATGTTTACAGACAGTCTGCCCTCCTACATCCTTCCTAAAGCAAATGGCACATTCCATGTAGTCATAGCAATATTGGCTTGGCAGGGAAAGGAAACTGAACTTTCAGCCAACTGTTTTCTTTGTATCATTTCATCATGTTCTTATGTTATGTTCTGAAGACATTATGCCCATTTTACACACGAGGAACTGTAAGCAGCATGTTCTGTCCCATAGTACCTGCAGTGTAGGCTCTTTCACCTACAGCGCACCTCTGCTAAACTGATGTGGCCACACTGAGGAGTCCTCGAAGTGGCTGATTTCTCTACTTAGTCACTGTTACCAGAATTTTTCCCTGTTCTGGCCAGACAAGGACCCAGCCAAAATTAAGTTGTCTCTTCAACCTGTGTGTGCGTTAGCAACTGCACACATCCTTCTTGGTCAATTGTGTGTTTTCGTTTTAAAGGCTTCCTGAGGAGGTGATGACAACCAGAGGAGTCTAAGTAAAATAAAGATACATTGTTAAAAAGGGCTTTATCCTTTTCTATATGGTGTGAAAAACTTAAAAGCAACATTTGTCTAGATAGTTCAAAACTGCGTAACAGATTTTCTGACTGACTTCGAGGCTAGATTAGCAGCCCTGTGGCGACATCAAGGCAATGCCTGTATTGAAGCACTCATTACTCACGGGCCCTTGGGATACAGTGCCCGGTGTGGTCTGAGGAGTTTAATGTCTTTCTCTGAAGAAAGTTTAACAGTGCATGTGTAACATGAAATTAATGTTCTCCAAAGATGACTGTCATCATAGGGGAGATGGTCAGGTGACCATTATGCACATTAGTTCATGAGGACACATATTGTACACTGAGTTTGTCATTGCCCAGTACATAGTCCACTGAGTCTAATTCTCAAACTGTAGTTTGAACTGCACGTGGAAGGCTGACACATTTTCTTCCAATCATCCATTCACTGATGTCTGGAGGATGGGACTCATAGAGTCCCTCGGATACCACCATATGATAAAGTGTGATGTACTACAAGTATTTGCACAACAGAAATGTTTTCCTAGTCTAGGCAATTGCCCAGTTGTTTCAAGCAATATTCAGTTACTGCAGAAGGAGAAAATCTGTGCACTTTTGTCATAGTGGCATTCTCTCTGACAATGGGTCTTTGTCTAAGTCTCGAATTTTCTAGTAATGAGTGGAATACCCTGTTGCAAGGGTTTTTTAAGAAAGAACCATCAATGCTTAATATCAATCATTTGAGAATTTCAGTAATTTCAACTTTTAATTAAAAGTGTGTGCTCCAGTGGTTAGATTTATCATGCGGAAAAACTCTGTTTTCATTTGCTCGCTAAAAGTAGGTCTGTAGTATTGCCCATGTTGTCAAAATTTACTACTTTATTTCATTGTGGTCCATCTTTTTAAATCAAGATTCTCTGACAGTATTTTTTTATACCATTATGTTTGACTGTCTTCCCCTCTGCCTCTTCTATCCCTTGAAGTTTGTAGTTTAGGAAACATTGTTTTTCCTAAAATGTTTTTAATGAAGACTAGACAAGTGATGACTCAGGACTGCCAGGTGTGAACACTCATTCAGAGCCCTAATCCCATTGAACCCAGATGACAAAAGAAATTTGCATGGCCCAGATTTTTTTTTTTTCTTCTACCCTTGACCTTGAGAGCCCCTGGCAACCAAAAGCAGTGCTCAGGTGTTGGCTGGCACTCCTCCTGGGCTGCACTAGACTGGCAGGCATCTTCAGCCTATTGGCTGACCTCACCTGCTGGATTAATTTCCCTGGGTTGGTACTGGGTATCCTGGTAATCCTGTTTATTATTTAAAACTGGATGGGGACCTTCTCTCAGAGGAGGACTGTTCATCATACCCATCAGTATTGGGAAGCTCGGGTAGAGCTGTGTGAAGCCGCGAGTCAGCCAAGTTCGTGTCCCCTCTGACCCATAACTGAGGCTGTCCAGGTGACTCCTTCTTAAGTTCTCTGGTTTGGGGCTAAGAGTCAGAACTCCTAGTCTTAATTTTGTTCCATGAGTGTTCCCCACTTGAACGTTTTGGCTGCATTTATCGGTTTCTGATGTCCCAAAGAGGGATGGCCAAGGATAGTAGAAATGATGCTTGACCAAGTCAGGATCCTGGGTTCTTACCGACTGTGGATTTGAGAAAGGCCCACCTCAGTTTTCTGGGCCTCAGTGTCATTTTCTGTTGAACAAAAGATTGAAAAGTTGGCAGATTCCCTAAGTCCCTTCTAGCCTAAAGTGCATGCGCCTCCTCTGGCTGGGTGGCTCCTTGCTGAGTATGTGATGGCCTGTGCTGCCTTTGCCTCCCCAGAACCTGTCTTCCCCAACACAGTCAAGGCTGCAGAGGACCTGCTCCCAGCAGGGAGTGGGTGTGCAGCTCAGGGGGATGTTTGCCAGCAGCCAAGACAAGTCATTAATAGCCACCAGTCTCTGTCTCTCTCATTCCAAAGTGAAATGTTGTTTTGTATTACCTCCCCCTATTACCCCCCAGCCAGCGGTAAATAAGCTGATTGGATGTTTTGGTGTGTGAGAGAATTTTAATGATTTTGGCAAGTGGTACTTCCATTCTTCAAGTTAACTTGAAAATGCACATGAGTTAATTTGAATTTAAGAAAAATAAGGTCCTAAAGAAATTAAGCACTTCAAGTGTCTAAGGCTCTCTTACTAAATTTAGTTTATTGAATGTGTTTGGTCAGGTCAGTCTCTTTGAAGGTGTTAAACTAAAATGCAGTCACTGAGAGAGCTTCACGTAAATATGAATCTTTATAAGAAGCCATATTATAGGCTCTCTCAAACCCTTGAAAGGTAGATTTATATAGTAGTAACAGAAACTGAACTCTTGTAACTTCTTACGGGATTACGTTTCTTTCCTCGCTGTGAGTTGTAAGATATTTGCGCATATAAGCCCAAAGCTGTACATCAAGGCATATACGATGATCGGGTGTGGCAGCTGAACATTGAATCTTAGGTCTGCAAAGCCTTCCCTACCTGGCAGACTTCTAGGTTCTCCAAGACCAGCTTCACATATCCCCTCTCTGAGAAGTCCCTTCCCGGGCTTCAGGGATATTGGTCTCAAATAGTTTTGATTAAGAGCATATTTGTTGTTGTTTCAGGTGCTGGGTTCTTTCCTCAAGATGCTTGCAGTTATAGGGGGAGAGAGGGCGTACACACACACACACACACACACACACACACACACACACATTGTTCCAGTGAAGGTGCCAGGGTGATGAAACAAGGACAGGTGTTGGACAGGTGTTGAAGCCAAGGCCTGAGGTCAAGCTTATAACTCCTCCCTCCATTTATGGCATTTTTTTTACCTCTATTATAAAGTCTTAATAATTAAGTCTTTGTAATTAGTGGTATATTCAGTCTGTCTTTTGCACTAGACTGAGGGCATCTTGAGGTCAGGGATCTTGGTCATGCAATAAAATTCATTAAATAAATTGTTTTACTTCTAAATAGATACCTTTTACTTATAAATAATTAATTTTACCTCTAAATAATTATTATAGAAAATGATTTTATCTCCCCTGGCTGTCAAGAGTTTTGTGTGAATTAAGTTTGAATAGAATAGTTTCTATCTGTATGTGAAAAATAGTATTTTGAAAAGTTGGAATATTTCAGTTAAATCAAAGGTTCTGTGTTTGGTCATCATTGTGGGGAGAATACCTCTTCCCTAATTCCTGCTTCTATAAATTTGATTCTCATCATCTTCTTTACTTAAAACAAGGAAATCCAGATATGCAGTAATACAGCAGCAAATGAACTCTTTCCAGAGGTAGGG